GACAGACGACGGAGAAGTGATCCCTATATGTCGCCACTACTCCGTAGAGGCGACACAAAAATGATGAACCGACATAAATATAGTATTGTATTTCTTTTTCTCATGAATTTTCACAGGCCCGTAATAGATTTTATTGTGTAAATTCACCCAAAGAACTCTTTAATACAATTCCATAAAAAAAAATATCATTGATTATTTGAAAGAGATAAACTTGTATTCTTGGATCTAATTGGCTCATTTTTATTGTCATTTACAAAGTTTACATAACATTTTAAGTCTATTATAGCATTCGGCACGATATGGCCAGTTATGTGTTGACGACCCGTAAAAATACAAACAAACAAAATTTTTCTCACATATCAAACATATGTAAAGGTTCTTTACAGTTTAATTTAAGACTTATATTTGAATGCGGATGAAACAAAAAACATATCATAACACTTAAACAGCGAAAGGAATAATCTCCGTAATGTGTAATTTTGCACAAGAAAATATATATAAATATATAAATATGCATACATCATGCTGAAAATTCAACAAAATTCAAACTTGTTACAGAATTATATTTATAAAAGTAAACTGTGACGTATCAATTACATCATGAAGAAAAGTGATTTACGTCAGCTGCAAAAATCGATACCACAAAAAGGGATGTAATATATAGAAATGTTGTTTGTTTATCATTTCAGAGTAACAAATATTTCACTCGCGAACACCAGTTGTTATAATTTAACTCGTTATATTTTAATTTATAATACAGCAAACATCCTTTGTTTAAAACAAAATGAAAATTTATCCATATTAATTAACAGCAGCCATGCATATATTTAGTAATAAAGATTGATGACAGGTTATATGGTCGTATTTACGATAACCCGAGCCGCCAAGTGAGAGTTATATTGGAAACAAAATTATGTCGGCCATATATCCTGTTAAAAAATCTTTATAACGAATTTACAATATTGCAGAAAAAAGAGAGATTTCTTGATAAATTGACAGCAGCTGTGTATATAAACTATATAAACGCCAATTAAAATTGACGTACCAAACTTGCAGTAACAAACGTGCAGTATTATAAAAGACGTTTGTCACGTCACTTTTCATTGGAGAATCGTGACATTTTTATAGTTTTATATACACTGTTTCTGGCAATTTTCTAAGGAATCTCACTTTTTTTTCTCAAAAAAGGGAAGTTCGCGGTTTTATAAATTCGTTACAAATATTCCTGACATGTTAAATGGTTGTAGGCAATGTAACCATCGCCTAGCGGCTCGGGTTATATTTCCAAACAGTCGTTTATATAGGGCAATATTACCTGTCAAAATCCCTATAACTCATAATATATACGTCATGATTATCCAATGAAAATCGACTTTACATATTTAATATATATTTATGCTTATGAAGTCATTGTTTTGCTCATGGCGTCATTGTTAGGCGCATGACGTATTTGCAGCTGTGTAGCAAGTGGAATTTTAGAAAGAGTTGCTGTACATATGTTTGTCTAAAGGGTAAAATTTTATTATATTTCGTGAAAATAAAGTCCACATTTCACTCAAACGGAAAGCAACAATGAAAGCAACATTTTCAAATTTGAATATTGACAGTATACTTACACCCTAAAACAACATGTTGCTATGAAGAATGAGGGATGGTTATCTGCCCCCAGATTTTTTGACTGGTATTGAGAAGAAGCTCCGCCAGAATATTGGCTATAACTATGTAAAGTGTTTAAAATATCTGACTACACTGGCAGCCGCTGCTGCTAAATCTTCAGTCTCTGTGGTTCTATATACAGTCGTTTTTCCTCTGTTTCTAGTATTGCAGTTTCTATGTTAAGTTCCCGCCCCTCAATTTAAATCACGCCTGTTTCATTGGAAATTTCAACAGGGGCAGTTCCAATGACTGTTCTCTTTTTTTAAAGGAACCTTTTTCGTACGTTTACCACTATCACAATTGATATTATCAAGGCAATCGGGATTTTCATCGCAAAACAAGTCTATATTGCTAGACGACAGACCGGCGGATCCTGCACGTGTCGCGTGATTGTGTTCCGGTTTAGCATGATCGTAACCTTATATTCACCTTCGTCTACGCAAAATAATGATTCGGTGAATATAAACAAGAGCTGTACACAATTTTCGCGGTACATGTATTCAAATGATAACACAACGCAATCGTTAATAACTAACGAGTAAGCAACGAACGATTGCTTAACTACTGCTTTCGAGATACCCGCGCTAGTCTCTCGTTAACCAACCCTCCGTCAATCGTTAGCACGTTCGTAAATATAACGTACTAACCCCAGGTCCGAAAGATGAGACCGTCATGACATGTACATTGTAGCCTGGTATTTACGCTTGAAATACATCAACAAAGAGGGTCGAACACACATGCAAACAACTGGATTTTACATACTTTTAAATGGTTTTGTCCTCCACGAGTGGCACTAAGTCCTATGTGTCTGTATTTTAAGAAAAAATCTACATGCAGACGATATTTTTAGAAGGTAATTCCTTCCGGAAGTATTCTCCGGCTTCAGTTTTACATACATTAACATAGAAGCGGAACGGGGAACCACGCACGTGTTGCGGGAGAACACTTCCGATTTAGGAATTTCTTATACATGTAGAATTTTTCAAATTCCAGGTTGACCATATATATGACAATTTTAGGCCGCTACCTTTACAAAAATGATAAAAGATCTCTCAAAGTACATGTATATATCTTTTAAATAACAAGAACTTCATTAAATACCATTTCTTTATATAACATTTCTTCCAACTTCGTAAAAAATATAAATGAAAAAGTTCTCTGAAAGTATTTTTTTTCCCTTTTTTAGCTCGACTATACGAAGTCCTACTCGCCCCGTTGGCGTTGGCGTCCGCGTCCAGATTTCAGATTACAGTTTTGGTGCAGTAAAATATTTTTCACTATAACTTTTTTCATTTCTTAAGGTATCAACTTCAAACTTCAAATATATGTTCCTTATCATCAACCACATCTTATGTGACAAGGTTCATAACTCTAGCACCAATATTTTCAGATTAATCTCCCCTTGAACTTATAATTATCCTTAATAAAATATTATTTTTTACTTTAACTTCTTTATTTCTTAAGGGATCAACTTCATACTTCAAATATATGTTCCTTATCATTAACCACATCTTATGCGACAAGGTTCATAACTCTAGCACCAATATTTTCAGATTTATTTCCCTTTTGAACTTAGAATTTTCCTTAAAAATATCATTTTTTACTGTAACTTCTTTATTTCTTAAGCAATCAACTTCATACTTCAACTATATGTTACATCTTATGTGACAATATTATTTTTTACTTTAACTTCTTTATTTCTTATAGGATCAACTTCATACTTCAAATATATGTTCCTTATCATCAACCACATCTTATGTGATAAGGTTCATAACTCTGGCACCAATATTGTAAGAATTATCTACCCATTTTCTTAGATTTTTTTGTTACTTTTTACTATAACTTCTTTAGTTTTAAAGATATCTACCTCAAACTTCAAATACATATTCCTTATCACCAAACACATTTTATGTGACAAAGTTCATAACTCTTGAAGCAATTATTTCAGATTTATTTCCCTTTGAACTTAGATATTTCTCTAAGAAATATCATAACTTCTTTACTTTTTAAGGTTTCTACTTCAAACTTCAAATATATATTTCTTATCATTACAAACATGTTGTGTGACAAGGTCCATAACTCTAGTGTGACTTTTTCCAGAATTATTCCCCCTTGAACTTGGAATTCGTTAACAACTATATCTTCTTATCATAAGAAGAAATATATTTATATCATAATTGATTTTTCTTTCATAGTTTTGTCTTCCTTACTGCGTCCAGTATTTAATTAGTCGAGCTTCGCTGTCTCCTGTGACAGCTCTTGTTATATACCGGAATAGTCTAAAGAACTTCATAAAGTCCCGTTTTAATCATATGTACAAAATTTCGATTTCCGACTAGAGAAAAAAATAACTTTTTAATTTTGATTTTTCCCCTTTATATAACTGTTAAATAAAAAATGTCTTTAAAAGTTATTTAAGAGTCGTTTTTCAATTCTTTTCCAAACTTTTTAACAACTTTGAAATTCTGGGTCGCTTGGCCGCCGTTTTTCAATTCTTTTCCAAACTTTTACAACATTAAATTTCTAGGCCGCTGGGCCGCCAGACCACCAACTTCACAAAAATGATAAAATAAAAAGTTCTTTGAATGATTTTTTTTCTTTTTATATACCTTTTAAACATCAAGAATAGTTTTAAGAACTTCATAAAGTCCCGTTTTTATCATATTTATTACATTTCGGTTCCTAGAGAGAAAAAACTTTCTGAACGTGTGATTTTTTTCCTTTTATATAACTGTTAATTGATAAGATATGTCTTTAAAAGTTAATTAAGAGTCGTTTTTCAATTATTTTCCAAACTTTTACAACATTGAAATTCTGGGCCGCTGGGCCGCGAAAAATGATAAAATAAAAAAAATTCTGAAAGTGATTTTTTCTTTTTATATTATCCTTAAAATAATAAGAATTGTCTTTAGAACTTATTAAATGCCGTTTTGAAATTCTGGGTCGCTGGGCTGCGTTTTAACATTTCTTTTCCAAACTTTTACAACATTAAATTTCTAGGCCGCTGGGCCGCCAGACCGCCAACATCTCAAAATGATAAAATAAAACAAAAATTCTCAAAGTGATTTTTACTTTTTATATATCCTTTAAATAATAAGAATTGTCTTTAGAACTTCATTAAATGTCGTTTTATTGTTTAAATAACATTTCTGCAACATTAAAATTTTTGGCCGCTAGGCCGCCAACTTCACACCGCCAGGCCGCCAACTTCACACATCTCACAACTTTTTACAAATCATTTTAACAAATAATTTATATACCTAGCCTTATATATCATATATAATGGTTGGATACCGTATTTATTTACCGGCATTACGCTTGCCTTCTTCACTACTGTATATATTTATTTTACCGATCACCCGATCTACGTCTATGTTTAAAAATAACTTTTTTTCATATGGCGTGATCGTTCTACAAACTAAAGCTATAACTAGCACAGTACAATTAAGACGGAAATTTGTTTTAATCAAAAGGTGAGTTCCTTTTTTATCTATAAGATAGAAAACGATTTTAATTCTTAACGGAAATTAAATTTTAAAATTACAAATATTACAAATAATAAATAAATAAATAAATAAATAAATGGCGAGGTGGGTGAGCTGTAGTTTTAGTGGAACCAATGTAATTTGATGTATATTTCAAACTTTTAAATGAATGATTGATTGTTGTAAATAGCTTTAATTAAGTCTTGTCAAATTAAAAATTGTTATAAACGCGTTTTTACACGTATACACAATGGAATGGCGCAATTTGACTCGTATTTGACCTTTTAACTTCGGATAAAGGTTATTTTCGTTATTCAGTCGCATCTTTTCGGCCCTTTCCGTCAAACTTCGTAGATACGAAATTTCGCTCTAACCTACGTACGTACGAAGTAAAGTAATCTAAAGCTAAAAAAATACCAATATATCGAGTACAGTCCACCTTAATTAAGTAAATTCAATGAAAGATAATAAAAGTAAACAATATATCATTTATATACTTATTATTATAGTTTAAGAAATCGAAAGTTCAAAATGTTTACCAGTTGGCATTAATTCTGATCTGTGTGTATTTTCAATCGAAATAGAATTTATTTTCCTTTGGATGTCAATAATTATGTCGATTCGTTATATTGTTTGATTTTATTAACCAGTCAATTGCATAATGATTATACGGTCATGGCACACGATATATACTTAGCACCAAGAGTATTATGTACCTATCTTATGTTGTATGTCAAATATTAGATTTATTTCTGTTCTTATGTAATAGTTATAGTATATGAAACGAGTTAATTACGAGGATATAACACTGGCTGTGCGACATCAACTGAAAAAAAATGGCGAGGCCGTTAGGCCGAGACATCATCTAGTGTTATATCTCCTTAACAAATGAGTTTCATATACTGTAACTGTTTTATCGCAATGTCGCAATGTCATATTTTCAATTTGTTGTTTTTTTTAAACAGAAATCAAGTAAATAAATCAAAAATAAATCGTAAGCTGTCTTTAACCCATTACCGCATGAGCATTCTGTGAAAAAATTCATTGAAAAGTCTCCCGTTACAAGTTCAAATTGCTATAAAACTATAAAAACTGCTCCAATACTAATCAAACTTGGCACAAATGCTGACTGGAACATTGCCTTTGTAACAACATGCTCAGTCTTAAATTTCCTGTTACCTTGGCAACGAGGGGACATCTCAAAATTACCAAAAATCACTATTTTGAGTTGATTTTTTTCCATCAAAATTGATTTCGAAGTACTGCAACTTCTCAATGGATTGAGATAGAGACAAGGGCTTTTCAGCATTGGTTACACGTTACCTTATGGTCGACCTGGGGTCATTTTAAGCCTCTCACAAGTCCAAAATTTTCTTGGCGATGAGGGGGAATACTGCCCCCTTCAAACCCCCAAACATTATTATGGTATTGTCACTCTCAGAATTTGGTTTAAGTAATTTCATTTATTTTCTCAGAAACTACCGAATTTACTTTAAACGTGGTTTAGTTGTTCACTATGATCATATGATGCAATATCAAAAGGTAGATAATCCTAGTTATATTTTGCAAAGTTATTCCCCTTATTTCTCTAAGATGTTTTCGCTCTGATTAACCTTTTGGTTACGGCTAATTTCAAACATATTGACTTTAAACTTAAAATACGTATTTCATATGAAAGTATTAATGCATTTCCAAAGGACAGATGACCCTGAAAGGTATTTTTTCTAAAATATCTCCCTTTTTATATTAAAAAAAAAAAACATCACAAATATTCACTTTGATTGAATATCAAGGCAAATTTTTTATTTTAACAGAAACGGCAAATAGTATGAAAATGCACGGTCTATACGAAAATCGAAAAAAATATCATGTAGTACTCCTTGATCATTTAGTATTCGATCCGTAGTCGGGTGCTAGATATGAGCGAATTTTACAATTATAGGCACCGGAATTTTTGTAAGCAGCCAGCCCGCCTAGAGCGCGAGACTTGTAACCTCGACCTTGTTGGCTTAAATAAATCCAACTCGCCGGTTTAGGTTAACGATATTCATTCTGAAACTGCTGAAAATGGCAATAACTTGATTAAAATTTATGCAATAATTATGTTACTTGCCATGATCAAGTTTATTGTATTGATTAATAAATGTGTAAATTATGAAGCCCTTTTTCTAGTAGATTTTAGGAAAAATCAAACTTGCCGTTTAATTATTTTGATCGTTCCATTTTTTATAACATGACACCAATTTTAGGCTGCCAGGCTCCTAGACTGCCAGCTTTAGGCTATTAGACTACAAAGTTAAGTGCCCTAAAGGTAAAGGCGTTTTTTTTCCATAATCATGCATGTGTATGTGCTTTTGCATGACCTTTCATATTGATTTTACTGTATTTTAAATTGTTTCCATATTTATAATATAAGTCACTAACTTTAAGCTACTAGGCTGCCGACTCTAAGCTGTTAGATTGCCAACTTCAGGTTGCAAAGCTGACATCGATAGGCTGTTAGGATGCCTCCTCAGGATACTAGGCTACCAACGTTAAGTTACAGGGCGTGAGGCAAACTCTTAAGGTCCAGGTCGTGAGCAATTTAGGCTTCCTCTTCCGACAGCGAGACAATTTGCCTCCTCAGTCAACTAGGCCATCAGACTGCCACCTCAGGCAGCCTGTCTCTTCTGCCATTTTACAGACACAATTGTACTAAACTATTTACAGAACAATGCCAATTTTGCAGTTTCATACAAATAGTAGACAATTGTATAATTATCAATATGTACTTGCATAAGATCAGCTAAAAATCGAACGCAAAAAAATATATATTTATTTACAAGATGAGTATAATCGCCGCCTAAATTGTAGCGCAGTTCCATATATAATAAATTCACTCGCTTTCAAATTGAGTAGGCAGATTTAATTAATATGATACAACAATAAAACTTGAGTTCAACATAAAATTACATCTTGCGACATTTAACGGTAGTGTTGCGACATTTAACGGTAAGGGAAATTCGTGCGACATTTAACGTTAACATTGCGACATTTAACGTCAAATGGTTTTGCGACATTTAGCGGCGGTTGCGACATAAAGCGTCAATGGTGCGACATTTAGCGGCAAGTGCGACCTTTAGCGGCGTTGCGACATATTTTTTAACGGCGCCACAAACGGTTTTTTAAAAACATTTCTGCTACATCTAAATATCTTTTAGTATTATCCAAGTGTATGGACTCAAAAAATATATTATCAATTGAACCCAATCGGTCTCTTTTAAAACTGGTCAAATTTTACGGTATTATAAAAAAAGACAAGGAGTGACATCCGCCATTCGCCGCAACGTTTTCGGCATGAGTTTTTCCCCTTTGGCTACAATTGTTTACTATTTTTCCCGTTATTTTTGTCAACTACATTTATCGTCCGGATATAACGTTAACGGTTTATTGTTTACACGTGCTGACATGTATAGGCGGCATTATAACGGGTGTATTCGTGTTTTGATTTGTTAACATGGAGAAAACAGACACTTAAGTAATATGGTCTAACTGATTTTGCCTAACTGAAAAAAGAAATATTAAAACATGATCCATAGATAAATATTTTAGGCACTCATCTGAAATTAAAACAAAAATCAAGCATATCAAGGGGGATAACTTACGCCGAACGTTGCGGTAAATGGCGGATGTCACTCCTTTTCTTTTTTCAATATATTGTAAATTTGACTGATTTTTAAATTAGCAGATTATATTAAATTGAGATTAGATAATTAAAGACCACCCGCTCGCATAATATGAAAAGATATTCAAAGGTCGGACAAACAATATGAAAAGCCGGTACGGATTCGGATTTATGCGCCGAAATATGCGGTCCTGTTCCAGAGTTCCTATGTTATCAGCCATCAAAATGAACCCATTACCAATTACATCAGCATACAACCTTACCTTTGTGTTGAGGATCTCATCTCGATACCGCTGGTCAGTCAATGTGCCTCTGTCGAGGTCAATGAGGTCAGTACGTCCATCAGCTGATTCCACCCCAGACCATTATTGATCCGCCGCCATAACGGTAGTGTTCCACAATGTTTGCTGTAAGGAACCGTTCCCCCGACATTCGCCATACTCTAGCACGCCTATCTGTGTAGTCCAGGCAGTACCTTGACTCGTCGGTGAAGAGGCCAACCTGCTCCAACCCACATGGTCTATGACCCAATCATATCAGAGCCGGCTGTGGTCTCTAGACAGCAGGATCCGTATACATGGTCTTCTCGATCGCAGACCACCTTTCATGCAAATTGTACGTATGGTTTGTGTTGACACACACACCCCTGGAGCATTTTGAAGGTCAGGACGAAATTGGATTGTAGTTGTAAAATGTTTCGTCGTGCCTGCATGATCAGAAAACGGCCATCAGCCTCAGTAGTCACCCTTGTTCTGCCACCATGCTGTTGGAACTAACCGAAGGTCCACACCAAACAAATCACCAACCTAACGATGTCGCACCCCCTTCTCCACCCGCCACAACTCTGCTTCTGATAAATGCCTTCTAACATTTGCATTCGCCATTATTCAATCTTAAATGTTCAATATTTCAGTGGAAAATGAAGAATGAACACCCTTCATGTATCGGTACGTGTATGCTGTGTCAAGTAAAGACTATCAAAATACAGGGTCACCTTGATTGCACTACTTGCACGTGGAAAAGGCCTATGTGTACATAGGGTACACTCTCGATACATTACTACACGATTTACTATGTAAATATCATAACATCATCATGTAGAATGCACGATGCTATGTGGAAAACTTGGTGCTTAGCAAACTTTGAGTAGTATACTAGTATTAATATTTGATAGATTTTCGGTAAGTTCAGTGATATTTACGCAGTAAGATATGATTTCTGTCAATAGGGTAAACTACGGGTTTATAATTTCTGAGTGCCCTACGTAAGATCGGGTCCTCGTAGATCCATGTTTTTTCTTATTTATATATTCATTATCGCATGTCTGTGAGCGTTTTCTTTGTTCTTTCTAACCCATTATACTAGGTACACTTCCATTAAGGATTTGAAAACTGTATTGATATACATATAGCAGTACACTTTTCCACTTCATTCATATATACTGAAACAAAAAAGAAACTTTCGCCAAGTTTGAATGTATATAGATATGTTAGTACAGTTTTTCAATCCTTTTGGCTGAAAGCTTACATTTTTGTAAAATAATGTATTGTGGTTCTTTTAAAATCGTCATTTTGGAGGAAAGGATCAGATTAATTGTTGAATTTTAAATTAAAATAAGGTAGGGATCGTTTCTTAAGTTAACAATCATTAGCGTGTGTGACCGCCGTGTGCGATGCTGACTGCCTGACAGCGACGTCGCATTGAGAGCACAAGTTTGTTAATGTCAGCCTGTGGAATATTATTCCATTCTTGAAAGGTCGTTGACGTTGTTTGGAGGGTTCGGACGTCGACGTACGCGTCTATCCAGATTATCCCAAAGATGTTCAATTGGGTTCAAATCCGGACTTTTTGAAGGCCAGTTGTCGATGAAATCAACGTTATGATTTTGTAAATACTGTATATTGACACGAGCAATATGGGATGTGGCATTATCCTGTTGTAACGTCGTTATTACGTTATGGGTTGAAGCAGACGGACAACATGAGGGCCTAAAATGTCTTCCCTGTATTTTTGGGCATTTAAATTTCCATCAATAACGACGAGCGGGGTTCGATACCCGTAGGCAATACCGCCCCACACCATAACTGAGCCCCCACCCCAAAACGATCCCGTTGCATTACGCAGCAGTCGGCATAACGTTCATTCCTGCGTCGGTATAATCGTACACGGCCATCAGCTCGAGACAATGCAAACCTTGACTCATCAGTAAAAAGAATTGTCCGCCAACGCTGTCTTGTCCAGTTTATGTGTCCAAGGACCCATTGCTCTCTATTATTGCGATGTCGGCGCGTCAAAACCGAACCGACGGATTTTGCAAACAAAACGAGTTTTACAAGCTACTAAATGTATGTAAGTGTGTACATCTAAGTGGTACCCTTGAACAACTGGCACATACTTTGCGAAAGTTTCTTTTTTGGTTCAGTAGGACAAAAACTCAGTTAAGTTTTTGTGCACCTGCTATATATTGGTTGAGTTTTTCAACGGAGGTTCAAAGGAGGCATAGAGTCAATGGGGGCATGTGGTAACACATTCAAGATACAATAAAGAGCTGGTTTAACTTGGTGATGCTCCCCGAACAGGTTTTGGACATAGAGAAAATATTTCTTGTTGATATCTCTTGAAGTTTTAGTTATGTCCCGGCCAAAGTCCACAGTGCACATTTACCTAATGAGATTTTTCTACCTACAAAGTTTCATGTTGATATCTCTTATAGTTTAAAGATCCTGTAACTCAATTTTTTTATGGTTTTATATCATAAATAGTTTCAGTTTCAGTTTTTATTAAACCAAGGCATATAAAATAATAATAATAATAATAATAATTGGATAGATTATAAATAATAAGTTATGGAAATTAGTATCTTAACTTCCTATGCACTCTCAATGTACAAAACCCTGTAGAGAGCTATATAAATTTCTGTTTAAAATCAGTTTAAAGGTTTTAGCGCTTTATGCAACTGGTTATTACAAACAAACGAACAGAAAAATAACAGTCAAAAATCACTACTATCACAATAAAGGAATACAATTATGACTAACTAAATAAACAAATCAAAGGGCTGCAAGCTCTGTGGTATTTTCTGATTTTGCAATCTTAATCATACTGATCAGCACATTTGTCACACAAATAAGTTTTTTGGGGTAGACATTTGAGGTCCCATTTGTCTCATGTGGGACAAATGCGACCGCATCGGTCTTAAGTAAGACAAATGTGCTCCGAGGCAAATGTGCTCCTACAAAGCACCGTATCTCTGTCGGCACTAACCGGGATGATCCGGGGCATGATATAGCTGGTAGAGCTACGATAGAGCCCCGGTGAATGCTGGCAGAGCCCCGGTGAATGCCGGCAGATTCCCGGTGAATGCTGGAAGAGCCCCGGAGGATGCCGGCAGAGTTCCGGAAGATGACGATGGAGCTACGGTTGATCCCGGTAGAGTCCCGGCAAAGCACGATTCATTTCAAAAGAATCACGACAATTTGCGATGATTTCACTTGTTTGTACTAAAACCTTTCCCATTTCCATTTTGTAATATTAAATAATTATGTATCAATATAATCATTTTCGCGCGTTTTCAATCCACCGGGGTTCTACCGGGACTCTGCCTGGATCGTCCTGGGCTCTGCCTGGGTCAACCGGGGCTCTTCCGGCGTTATCCGGGAACGACCGGGGAAGCACCGGCATGAACCGTAGCTTCACCTTGGCTCTGCCTAGATGGCTTGGAACGCATCCTGGGTGGTTAGTTGGGAATTATGGTAGTGCTGCCGGGGTAAGTGTTACCGCAACAATAATTTCACCCCTGATCGTCCCGGATCATCCCAGTAACTTACCGGAGTGGTCCTGGGCTCTGCTGGGAGTGATTAAGACCTCAGCTTTACATCCCGGCAGAGCCCCGGTTGACGTCCGGGGTGATCCGAGAACGACCGTGGTACGACCGGGAACAACTTGAGTACATCCGTAACTCTGCCGGCAACGTCCGGGATGATCCGGGAACATCCGGCATTCGACCCCGGATGGAATAAAATATTTAATATCAACGGGGTGGTCCGGGAAGGTTCGGGGAAGTATAGCTTTGCCGGCTACATCCTTAGCTCTGCCGGGAACGACCGGGGTGGTTACACCGGGGAAGCACCGTAGCTCTGCCGGCACAAACCGGGATGATCCGGGGCATTATATAGCTGGTAGAGCTACGGTAGAGCCCCGGTGAATGCTGGCAGAGCCCCGGTGAAGGCCGGCAGAGCCCTGGTGAATGCCGGCAGAGCCCCGGAAGATGACGATGGAGCTACGGTTGATCCCCGGCAAAGCCCGGTTCATTTAAAAAGTATTACGACTTTTTGCGATGATTTCACTTGTTTGTATTAAAACCCTTCCCATTTCCATTTTATCCAGTCTTGCATAAGGATTTTTAAGAAAATCATCATGAATTACTGTTCTGAAACAATAGATATAATATTAAATTAAGATTATGTATCAATGTAATCATTTTCACGCGTTTTCAATCCACCAGGGTTCTACCGGGACTCTGCCTGGCTCGTCCTGGGCTCTGCCTGGGTCGACAGGGGCTCTGCCTGGGTCAACCGGGGCTCTTCCGGCGTCATCCGGGAACGACCGGGGAAGCACCGGGTAGTGTGACCGCAACAATAATTTCACCCGGATCCTCCCGGATCATCCCAATAACTTACGAGGTGGTCATGGGCTCTGCCGGGGGTACGTGAGAGGGCACAAGAGAGGGAAATGCACATATTATTTTTTTTTCTTACTGATTTCTGTTACAGAAAAATAATGAAATTGCGATAAAACAGTTATAATTTATGAAACTAGTAAGTTACGGGTGTATTACTGTGGCTGGAACGACATCTTAGGATGTTTCTGCTAAAAATCTTCTCTGCCTTACGGCCTCGACATTTTGTGTTGCAAAAAATTCCCGAGATATCGCAAAAGCCAGTGTTATACCCCGTAACTAACTCTTTTCATATACTATAACTATTACATATTACTGAAACTTTTTTATGTTGTTTGTTTTGTTTTAATATGTTTAATATGCATTTATTATGGTAAAGTCTACTGCAGTATAAACCTTTTAAAAAAAACATGTAAGAATTAATACTTAAAATTCATCCGGATTAAAATCAATAAATGTGATTTCAATGCACTACAACACAACAATCGGAACGTTTTCGGCTATTATCTATAGTATGTACAGATTCACTATAATTATACTCGTCGAGGGAAAAATGGTTCTGGGAATTGGCCAGTGAGTTTCAAAGTCGCAATGGGCCTTTTAGCTTGTGTGACTTAATCCATAATCAGCACGGACAAAACCGAAGTGGGATCGAATATGTAAATGAGTGCTATAAGTAATAGAATGAGCATCGAAACACGAGTGTTTTGATGTTCTTTCTCTTATATATCATAGTCAAACATAAAAACACGTTCCCTGTTGTTACAATATGAAACCCCAGAAAAAAGTAACCAATGAACGAGCATCTGAATATGATATTTCTGTCGCGTTCCCTTTCTCTGCCGTCACAATAAGTAAACCCCAGTAAAAATGAGCCACTCAATTGGCATGCTCTGGAGTGCGCACAGCGTACACTCCAGCGTCCGCTATAACTTCCGCCTGCGAGCGAGACGCGGATTTAGGCTTATATATATGTAAAACAGGTCAGTTAAGATCGATCATTGAAGATTTTTATGAGTGGGTCTTACATGAAACAGATACTTCCCGATATGCTTTTGTGGCATAACCTATATTTTTTAAAGCAATGCGATTTCTCACTTTCCCTATTTCTCGACTTAAATCAGCAATTTCGAAGCTTTCGAAGGTTATACAAAGCTAAGAAGAATGATGTAAGAGTCACTCTGGTTGGATGATAAACTAATGTTTGTGCAAATCCTTTTGACTCTTAAAAGAGTAACTATCATATATCTAGGGAGAACTCCTTCGTTATGAAATTATTGACACTGAAATTGCCTGCTTGGATAATCTGAAAAACAAGTCGTCAGGTTGCTTGTGAGGTTGCTTGAAATGTTGTTCCCATTTCTGGTCACAAGACGATTTGTTTGAAAGACTATTATTATTATTATTATTATTAAATAAATAAATAGTGTCCTCTATTAAAGATATTTTTCAACATCACGTGAAAATCCTTTGAAACAGTTATACATTTGGGAAACGTGTGTCATATACATGTATTTCAAAGAACCTGTACAAAATGCACGTCCAAATCGTAGCAACAAATTTTCCTCATAAATGATCGGAAAAGATGTTGAATGAATTTTCCTTTGAAACAGTGCAAAACAGTTATAAGTTATATATATAAAATCTATAAGCATATATTGTAGGGTCTACTACCAGTTCTATATCAAGAATGTTGACGAATGTTGACCCTCAAGAGACCCAAAGCTATCTTAAGTTGGGTCTTCACATAAACTTAATTTAAAGCAAGTTTCGGTGAAACACTATATGTACTTATTGACCAGAAATTGCTTTTCTATTTTTAGTAACAATAACCTTGAACTCAGTCCTATGACAAAGGAGATCTTTACAAAATGTTACTATACGCCAAGATTCACTGAAATATAATTTTCCAAAAGTTATTGACATATTTTTAGTAAGTGACCCTGACCTTAAGGGGCCGCAATAATAAGCGAGATCTTCATTAAGCTTACTATACACCACATTGCATTGAAATATCTCATTCCAAACTCTAGTAATTGACCGGAAACTGATTTTCTATTTATATTAACAATGACCTTGATCCTATGGGACTCAAAAGCCATCCCAAAAGAGGTCTTCATAAAAGCTTACTATGCACCAAGTTTCAATGAAATATTCCATTTTAAACTCTAGTTATTGAACCAAACACCAATTTTCTATGACCCTAGCTGTCCCAAAAGCCATTCCAAGCGAGGTCTTTACAAAAGCCTGCTTTACCAAGTTTCAATGAAATATCTTATTCTAAACTCTAGTTATTGACAAGAAACATATTTTCTATTTTTTAAGTAACAGTGACCTTGAACTTGACCCTAAAAGGCCTAAAAGCGATAAAAAAAACAAGGTATATACATAAGTTTGCTATACACCAAGTTTAATTGAAATATGAAATATTTAATTTCTTACTCTAGTTATTGGTTGGAAACAGATTTCCTATTTTTAGTAACAGTGACCTTGAACTTGACTTTACAGGACCAAAAACAGGCAGATGAGCTGACAGTCGTGCACCAAACTAGATGGTTTCTGTTCAATAGTTATATTAACTTTGGTACATGTAGTATAGTAATTGTGATTAAAAGGATATTTCGTTATATAACATTATATGGAAAAAATAAAGGGCCATAATTAGGTCAAATATTATTCAATCACAAAACCCCAACAATATGCGCTAGGGCACTTCATGACAAAGCTTCTGTGGAAGTTTGAACAAAATCCCTTGAGAAAGGTAAGAGAAGCACATAAAAAATGTTCAATCTATAGTACACAGTTTTAATTTATTCTCCCAAGCAACCGTACTATTAGTTAGCAAGCAACCGTACAGTTAGGAAACAACACCAATGATGATTTATTTGTCATTTTTTCAAAAACCACTGTGTGCACACTAGATATTGTTTAATTTTCTTAAGCTCCAAGATTATTCTCCAAAGTGTCAAGCGAATTTGCTAGTATATTATATGCAAAGCTCGAAATGGTGTTTGAAGTCAACGATTGTGACATTTTTTGAGGAATCGGAGTGAGAAGTATTTTTTCGGAAAATATAGGTTTTACCGTAGGGCTTAGACCAGTAAAATCTCTTTTATGCAACTCCTAGTTATTAAAGTAATAATTCCTCCATGACTGGTCTTTATTGAACTTATTTATCAATTTTCAGTTCAAAATCAGCGATTTTTCTAGCTTGCAAGCGGAAGTGTCAGCGGGCAAGGAGTGTATGCTGTCGTGCGGGTAATTAATACCTGCACTCCAGTTAACGCACTGTACATGTATATGTATACAATTCTGACACATTTTCAACAGAAAGGTCCCCAAACTATGATACAAATATTCATAAACAATGTTAAACATATTTAGTGGGTTTTTTGTTGTTGTTTTTTTAAACTTTATGATAGAAATTAGTTTAAAAATGTAACCTGACAATTTATGGGAGAAAACTAGAATATGTAGTATAAGTAGTATAATCATGACATGCCATTAATGAAATACAAGAAATACTTACTATTTTATACTTTATTAGTACCCGGAGGGGCCCTTGTCCATCAGTGCATCAAAACCCTATAAGCACTGAAAATATTTTTATAAATATTGAAATACGGATAGATGGCAGTCTGGAGATTGTGCACGTTTTTTTCATTCTTTCAATGTCGAAAACTTTGGTTGCTATGACAACAAATAGAATATAACTAACAAAACTGGATCCTGTGATAACGAACAAAGTACTGAAAATATTTTATGAATGTAGATTATGCACATTTTTTTCTTCCAATGTTGAAAATTTGGTTGCTATGGCAACAAATTGGATTAAAATATAGCAAATATGACAATGTGTCTTGAATGTGATAATTGAAAAAGTACTGAAAATCTTTTCACTATAACTTCTTTATTTCTTAACCAGGTACGTATATTAACGTTAATATACGTACCTGTTCTTAACGTATTTTCAAACGTGAAATATATGTTTCTGATCATCAACCACAAGGTTCCGAACTCTAGCACCAAAAATTATCAGAATTACCCCTCTTGAACTGAGAATTTTCACGAAAAAATGCCTGTTTATATATAACTTGTATCATAGTTTGGGAACCTTTCTGTTGAAAATGTCTAAGCGTTAAATCGTACATACATTAACATGCACAGTGCTTTAACTGGAGTGCAGGTATTAGTTACCCGCACTCCAGAACATGCCCATTGATTGGTTCATTTTGCCGGCGTTTACTTATTGTGACGGCAGAGAAAGGGAAAGTGATGGAAATATCATATTCAGATGCTCGTTGATTGGTTACTTTCTTTCTGGGGTTTCATATTATAACAACAGGGAATGTGTTTTTATGTTTGACTATGATACAAAAGAGAAAGAACATCGAAACACTAGACCATCTGATTAATACTCGGGGGCTACGCCCCCTCCTACAAATCAGATAGTCTCGTGTTTCGAAGCTTTTTCTATTACTTCTTTATCTTTTAATGTATCTACTTCAAAGATATATTTCTTATCACCACCCACATCATATGTGGCAAGGTTCATAATTCTAGCAACTATATTAGTAGAACTTAGAATTTTCATGAAAAAATGTTGTTTGTTTTCTACAACTTCTTAAGGTGTCTCTTTCAGACTTCAATTTTATGTTCCTTATTATCACTAAATTATGTGTGAGAATATTCAATACTCTTCCTTGGATATTTCCAGTATGAATTTAGATTTTTTCTAGAAATTATTATTTTTACTCAAACTTCTTCACTCGTTATATGATTTACTTCCACATCATAATAATATGACGAGGTTTTTAAATCTAGTGTCCAAATTTCCAATATTATCTCCCCCTCAAACTTTGAATTTTCCTTCTTTATTCTATAAGTTTCTTATTTCTTCGTGGAATTACTTCAAATGTCTAATATATGTTCATAATCAACAACTACATCATATTTGATTAGCTTTATAAGTCTAGCGTCGGTTTCCACGATTATCTTTATTTTGAATTTGGAAATAATTTCTGTCTGTCAGTCCGTCCCTGAAAGCTGTTTCCTGAGATCACTTTTTAAAGAATTTGGAACTTTTCAAACAAATTTAAATTTAAATGGAGAAAAGTTGAAACATAAGTTATATATGGCCCTTCAGAATGTTTCTGGGGTTCTAACCAGTAGGGGACTTTTGTATTGCTTGCACTACTTTGATAATAAATTGCTTGTTTATTTTAGTTGACATGACATCTCCAATCAAGATAGAAAGTCCTTCTGTTCGATATTCGACAGACTTCATCGAGGCAGATTATATTTACACGAATACACAAGTGCGTCAAGATGCTAAAGGGACTTACATAGCAACACCAACAAATACAAAATATACTTTCAAAACTCAAAGAAAGGTAATTCCTTTGTCATTGCACACTCTTATAAATTATCTCAAATTCTTAACAAGAACACCGCAAGGCGGGGCATTATATGCCCGAAAAGTGTGAATGAATAAAAAAAAATTGTGACTTCTGTAAAACAGCAATCTTTCATTGTACCCATTTATAAAGGAAATACAATGTATACATAAATTAATTGATACATAAACATATTAAAATAAAGTATTACCTCCTTCAAAGCAATCCTCCTTTATAGCTGAAGACCCCAATATAGATATGGATCTTTTATTCAATATAGGCAATCATCCTATGAAGTTTGAACACTGTAAGCCAAATGGAACTTGTGTAATGCTCCAGAAACCACAATTTTCAGTGTTAAGGTCATTGTGACCCTGACCTTTGACCTTATGACCCTAAAATCAATAGGGGTCATGTACTGGACATGGCTGTTCATCCTATAAAATTTTACTGCTGTATGTTTGTTAATGCTTAAGTTATTGAGCGAAAACCGTTTTCAGTTTTAAGGTAATAGTGACCTTGACCTTTGAACTTGCGACCCAAAAATATATGGGGGTCTTCTACTCAATATGGACAACCATCCTATGAAGTTTGAATATTGTGGGCCAAATGGAACTTAAGTTATCTCGGAAACCAAATTGCAAACGGACGGACGTACAGACAGACGGACGGGCGCCAGGGGGTATAACATAATGTGTCCGAAGAGACCACAGATATCGTTCTCATCATTTTATAATCTATTTACAGAGAAATAGATAATAACAGATAAAAGCAAGTATACTGCACTATTCTTAGATAAACAATTTTCGGAATATTATTACATAGGCACACGCCTGGATTTGAACAATTTAAATCTAATATTGCTAAAACCAATATAGTAAATATCTAATACACATTTATTTTTGTTTGTTGTTTAGACACAGAACAAGGTCTATCTAATAAATGATATACACACGCACGCACGCACACGCACGCACGCACGCACGTACGTACACACACACACACACACACACACACACACACACACACACACACACACAAGAAAAGTATTTGCCGGAAAGATTTGCATCTTATTAAATAAGTTAACTCATGGAATGTGTTTTTGTTTTATTATATGTATATACTTGTATATATCAGGTTCCTAAACTCGGTGTTATGTTAGTGGGTCTTGGCGGAAATAATGGAAGTACGGTTACAGCGGCCATTTTGGCAAATAAACATAAGATGTCTTGGCCAACAAAAGAAGGTGTAAGGCATGCCAACTACTTAGGTAAGAGAAAAACCTAAACTTGTATCGAAGCATTGGATTGTTAAATTTCTTGGTTTACTTATACACTTATACGACTATAACCCCAGCAAAGCTATTCAAAAAGTGTCTTCTTATGTAAGTAGGAAGACACTTTTATATAACTGTTACTTAGGTGTTCTGCTTGGGTCAGTTAAATGACACCTATTGACATGCAAGATTTTTTTTCTCTAAAAGTCGTGTCGACCTTCTCAGGGCTGGGAATCAAAACTGCGTCGTATCCTACAAAATGTAAACAAACGCCGCCATCTTGGAACGAAAAACGTATGTTTTTGTTTATAACTTTTTTTGTTGGAAATGACTGAAAACCAGATATATGTATTAACACGCTACACTATTTTCCGCTTCGTTCGGTATATGTTGCTTGCACGACTATTTTGTAAAACAAAAGTTATAGCGAACTTGTAACTCGAAGCGGGGCAGAATTTTTATGAAAATGTGTGGATACGACGCAGTTCATATTGCTTTATCTATCGTTTTGTCCTTCAAATCAATTATATATTTGTTTCAGAGTTCACCATAAACTTCGAAATATAATTTTGCATCATTTACTTAAATTTCATTAAAAAGAGATGTTCATTTTCAAAGAAAATAATGATTTTTACGAAATGATACGACGCAGTTGAAAATAAAATATGATACGACGCAGTTGTATTTTTGGCAGTCTTTTCAACAGGGATAATTTTGGCAGTATATTTCTATTTTATGGAATAATCACTTGCGCTAGATAAAAACCCCAGATCATTTGAGGTGTGTAGCAATTTTCTGTTGCTTTTGATTATTTAGAATACATTGTGTCATGTCCAATATAACATTTAATTTGAAAGTTTACATTGCGGAAGCTACTTTTTAGTTAATCATGCAATCGCAACTACTCGGCCCTTTCCGTCAGTCTTCGGATAAGGACCTCGAGCACAATAGTATGAATACACAGAACGGATGCGGTATTTCGGTCTAACCTACGCTAAGAAACTAAACATGTAAACAAATAGTAATTTAATGCTTGGAGTTGTTGACAAGTTTATTTTCAATATACATGTATGTAGTAAAAGTCCACATAAAATAAGTGAATTCATAGGTACAATAGCAAATAATACATTATTTATATATTTATTATAATGGTTGTAGAAACCGAAAGTACAAAAAACCAAACTGTTGACATTTAGTCGGATTTGTTTAAAATTGAACATCAGTGGGCATACTTAAATTGCAAATTGTTGTCAGACATATTTTCAAGCATAAGAGTACCGGGACACACATTAGATGTCAAATGTATACATTCGTTTTACATTATCTCTGTTTCTGTTTACATCTGAAACCACGTGGTAGAACTACTTTCAATCCGTATTGTTTCCGAGGTTATTATATATAATAGCCGAGGCAGTTCCGAATGGTTAATCATGAACATGTTACCTAATTGATCATAATATCTGAAATAATTTCTTATATTTTCCTATATGTTCAATAATATCCCTTATGTTTTTCGCAAAAAAATGTAGAAATCTATTAACTTAAATTCATTTCGGTTAGCTACGCTCTAAGTTAAATGTGGTTTTGAATGTTCTGGGAAATGACTGCTTTTTTGTGGTTTGTTTTCAAACTTTCACTCTACACATTAGGGGCGAGGACCTCAGGTGCACCTTTGTGCATTATTTCAGGCAAAATGGTGCACCTGCAGAGAACCATCGACATTTTGAAACTAGCTTGATAGGTTTTCCACACGAAATAATAAAAAGTCCCTGGTGTTTTCGAATTCATAGCAGTTCAGTTCAAGTAATTTGAATTCAGTAAACATAAACAGCCCGGCCTCGGTCGGACACACCTGTCGTTTTTTTTTTTTCAACAAAATTTGTTAACGTCACCTGTACAAATAAGCAGCTTTTATTACATGCTTTTCGGTGGTTTATAGAAATATATCAGTGATATAAAACTGGTAATTTCACTGTTTGAAACAGTGAAATTACCACTTTGATAATTTCACTGTTTTGAATTTAAGCCCCTTACGTTGTTTCAGTGAAATACCAGCGTGCACAGTACTGGGTACCAACTTAATGACGTGACGTCGTAAATGACGTCACGTTGTATTATTATTTGGCGCGCTTTTCATTCAGTATTAGATTTAATGTCTTTTTAAAACGTTTATTTGCATATAATAAAAAGAAAATTTGTTTAATTTAGTGTAAGATCGAAATATATTTCACCTTGTGAACACCAAAAGTTCATATTTCACTCGTGGCTGCGCCACTCGTGAAATATACCTTTTGGTGCTCACTCGGTGAAATATATTCCGATCTTACACTGAACTAAACAAATATCCTCTATTTTATTACCTACTGGCGTGAAGTTTTAAGATTATAAATATTTGAATTAATTATAAAGAGAATAACATTTAAATTTCTTATTTCGGTATGACTAGCAGAGAAATGTTCAATGTAAACAGGGGGTAATCCTCTGTGAAGTCATTTTCTGAAAACTTTTGTTTAAGTTTTCAGGCAATTCATTATCAAATAAAAATCACACTTGAGTATGAAGGTATGTTAAGATGCCATGTCTCTAGTCTGTTGAAAATTCGATGCGATAATCTGACCTAAATTTTCTGTTCAATATTGTGAAAACTTCTTCAATACTGTTGCCTATATCTGTATCAAACTTATCGGTGCACATCGTAAAAATCCTTTGCAAAACGGACACATTCTTTACAAAATAAGTTGTAGTTGTATCATATGTAACTCGATTTTGAAAATCTAAAGTTATTTAATGGAGAAGAATGATACTTAAGTGCAAATATAGAAAACACATAGACATTTCCTCATCGGCGATAAAGAAATGCAATACGACAAAAATCAGCGGTAAAGTTCCGCGGCGCTGAACATAAAATGACTAAACGGAACGCATAACCTACTTACAAAAATATATTGTAGCTTAACCATTTATAATATAATTCTAATAATTTAATGTTCAGTTTAAAATAGTCAAGCTCATCTGTTCTCACCGATAATTAAGAAAATGAATACAATAAAATCGGCATGTAAAAGACATAAGTTATAACGGAATTGATGGAAATTATTGCTAATTACAAGTAACAAAGGAGCTATCTACCGATAGCAGGAGACCTTTTCAAAATTTGTAATTCTTTCTCTTTTTTTAAAAAGGTCATTCCTGATAAATACAGGGTCCAGGAGAGGTTACACTGGAATATTGAATTTTTTATCAAAAATAGTAATCACTCCCATTTCGAACTCACAAGAACAATTTTAGAAGCATGCTAAGGCAACACTGGAACACGTAGTCATATGGGTGTGCGATCACGTGTTCCAATGTATATATTGCAGTTTGATACAGTTTTTCGGAATCTGTATAGATGCTTATGATAGGTACTAAAATGCGACCGAAAAATGCAGCCTTAATAGAATTGTATTACATTTCCATTTTTTATGGAACCAATGAGTGACCTCTGGTTTTGACTTAAGTTGTAAACAAGAAATATTGTAGGACGTTAGTTGCATACCTAGTACATAATTTGAATAGTTTAACCAATATGCAGCCTGCAATGATAATACAACTGCGTCGTATCATATTTTATTTTCAACTGCGTCGTATCATTTCGTAAAAATCATTATTTTCTTTGAAAATAAACATCTCTTTTTAATGAAATTTTAGTAAATGATGCAAAATTATATTTCGAAGTTTTATGGTGAACTCTGAAACAAATATATAATTGATTTGAAGGACAAAACGATAGATAAAGCAATATGAACTTGCGTCGTATCCACACATTTTCATAAAAATTCTGCCCCGCTTCGAGTTGCAAGTTCGCTATAACTTTTGTTTTACAAAATAGTTGTGCAAGCAACATATACCGAACGAAGCGGAAAATGGTGTAGCGTGTTAATACATATATCTGGTTTTCAGTCATTTCCAAAAAAAAGAGTTATAAACAAAAACGTACGTTTTTCTTTCCAAGATGGCGGCGTTTGTTTACATTTTGTAGGATACGACGCAGTTTTGATTCCCAGCCCTGCTTCTGTATTTTTATAGATAAAATAGCGAGATTTTGCATTCTCAAATTAAATAATTGGGTAATAGTGCTATCAAAAATTGAAAAAAAATTGTTTTCAAATTTAAGTTTTATGAGTAAATAATACTTACCCGACAATACTATATGGATTCCTTTCCGTTAATTACTCACTAATTCGCTTAATTATTTACACCGGAAGTAAACTCCTCAATTAACTCCCCTTACTTCCAACACGTTTTCAAATGAGGCGAGCAAATCGCCCAGAGAGGGGTACGGGGTAGGTTAGAATGGATAGTGTACTGTCGGGTAAGTATTATTTACTCATAAAACTTAAATTTGAAAACAAATTTTCAATTTTCATTTCGTAAATAAACTTACCCGACAGTACTAATACTACTAAATGGATTAAACCAGATTTAAAAGCAGTACTGAAAGGAAGTGGTAGTTAAGTTTCAAAAATATCTGTTTCATTCACTAATAAAACAAACTTGTTTATATATCAATTAAAATATAGACATAAAACACTTACCTGATGTATTTCCCAATATCCAGTATTACCACACCTTGTTACCGCTTGATCACTATAACTGCTAACCCACTAATTACAGTTGCACAACAATATATATACAAGTTCATCCAAACTGTACAAGAATAACCGCAAATACTCAAATTTACAAAACATCCAGTCGCAATTCGCCGAAAAAAAAACAATAAAAAGTTTGTACACACAACCTTGGTAAAATACAGTAACTTCTGTAACAACATTTACTTGAAATCCAAAACACTTGTATCTATGTTTTTGAGATAATGCTTAATGAAGGTGGTCTCTGAAGACCAATCTGCCGCATCCAAAGACGCACCTTTGAACAACTTATAGTTTGGTGACCTTTAATTTCTCCAGTAGATTTCTTATTCCTTTTGTAAGCACATTAAATAATATTAACTT